ATATATATATATATATATATATATATATATATATAATGTTTTTTTTTATATGTAAAATATGTATACATGTGCATATACATACATATATGTATATATATTTTATATATTTATATATATATAAACTCTGATAAACATGATTCTAAATAATAAAAAATTCTAGAAAAATTTATTTTTCTTTCTATTTACAGTAGATAAATAATGCGAAAAGCATTTTTTTTTTTTTTTTTTTTTTTTTAAATAATTCATAATGTTTTATTTATTACGTATGTATACACGTACACGTACACGTACACGTACACACACGTATGTATTTATTATTATCATTATCATTATCATTTTTAACGTATATTTGTAAATAAGTTAAGAACGGATCGATTTTCCTTTTGCGTTCTCGCTTTGCTAAACACGCTCCAAAACCTGAGAGTTTCGTCTCCAGCTCCGGTAACGATAGATTCACCATCCGGCGACATGGCCAAATATAAAACTCTGTACGAATGACCCGTTAATTTTGCCACTTGAACGAGACTCGGATATTTCCAAACTAATATTTGATTTTGTGAATATCCGTGAGTGCTCACGAGTTCCGATGAATGTTTCGACCATGCCAAATTGCAAACCTATTTTTATTAAACACACAAAAAAGTGTTATTATTTTTAACTTAAATTTTTTTTTGTGTTATACTTGTTTATTGTTCTTTCTATTTGTTTACAATGTTATGAATATCTCATAGAAATCAACTGAGTAAATAATTATGTGTTTATTATTTAATCAGTTGATTTCTCAATGTCAGTCGTCACACACACACACACACCCAGGCCTATTGAAAATCAAACAGATTTTTTTAATAGCAAATGATTGATATGATTGAATTTGAAATTTTCTTTTTAAAACATATCATTTTCAGGTACCAAGTGTTAGGTTATACCATTGATGAAAATACTTTATTGCATTGTTTAGGACTTTTTGAATACATGATTATTTTTAAAAGTGAATTTTAAACCGATAAGTTTATTTTTCTTATTTGTGATGAACACAAAAGCATTTTTACATTTATTTTTTAGGACTGGTGGTTAAGATTCTTCAGATGGCAACTACTACCTTGAATCTCTATCGTTGGCAGTCAATAAATACAATTTAAACAATTAGAAATTACAAAGAAAGCCATTAAGAAAAACAGTTTATTTTTTAAAGTAATAAAAAGAATTTTACTCGACTCGAAAATATTAAAAACACACCTTTTGATTTTGATGACCCTATAAATCATTATCAGAAATGCAGGTA